GGGTTGCTTGGTACAATTTGGTTAGCACATCCAGGGCAGCATCTGTTAGCTGAAATACGTCAATTGTTATACCATCTATTCCTGGGGTCTTATTTTTTTGCTATTTCCTTCAAAGAATTAAAGAGTAGCATTTCTTAAAAATTACATTACTTCTGCAATCCCAGAGGCGCACGGTTCAAATCCACCAGATGCTCTGCCGGGGAAGGAGGGACAATCCCCTCCTGTACCAGTCAGATCTGATTTGATGGTACACACACACAAATAATGAAATAAAATAAGGAAAAAAACAAAACAACAACAACAAAAAATTACATTACTCAGAGTAAACTGTTCCCTGACTCACAGCAAACATACTCTTAGCAGCTACTGCCTATGTCTTCAGCCTTTTTGCCACATGTGATAAAAACAGTAGGTGTTCTTGGTGATCTCTAGTAGACTAGTGGTAAAAAGTGGTCCTGCCAATTCAAAGGTATATGGTTCGAATCCACCAGCTGCTCCACAGGAGGAGAATGGGCAGTCTCCTCTGGTGTGATTAATTGCCTCTGCAAACCCACCAGAGGGTCAGCTATGGGTCAGTTCTGACCCAACACACAAACAATTACAGGGTAAAAAATATCTACACATAAACTACTGTTCTGTGATTTCTTACTTCTTAGACTGCTGAATATGAAAAAGTCACCAATCTGAAATATTCTGAATAGTGCGCCAAGAAGCCAAAGCAAAGGAAATCAGGAAGGAGTAAAGAGATTTCAAAGAGCAGCTCAGCAAGATAAAGCCATGTATTATAACAAAATGTGACAAGAGCTGGAGGCAGAGAATCAAAAGGGACGAACTCAATCAGCATATCTTAAGTTACAGGAACTGAAGAACATGGTACGGGCAGAATATTGAATGATCCAGGATGCATCAAAAAAAGATGGAAGACCTGAGGTAAACAAAGCTTCAAATTCAAGATCATATTGCGAGGAAAACCTGTTATCCAAAATATAATTCAGTGTTAGCCCCAATCTGCTCTGTCTTGCCAATTACACAGAAAAAGTCCAGAGGAAAGAGTTATATTGTTTCAGGTGAGGGGAAAGGAGAAGATGGAGGTAGACACTGCAACACCTCCTTCCCCAGACACAAGAAATTGTGGCTAACCTTGAGAAGAATAGGAATCCCAGAATACTTGATTATGCTCATACAAAACCTATACTTGAATCAGGAAGCAGTCCTCAGAACTTAGCCTGGAAACAATGCATGGTTGTTCAAAGTCAGGGAAGGAGTAAGTCAGGGATGCATCCTGTCTCAGTATCTTTTCAATCTGAATGCAGAACAGATCATTCGGGAAGCTAGGCTTGATGAGGAGGAGTGTGGCATCAGGACTGGAGGAACACTCATCAATAATTTGTGTTCTGCAGATGACACCACTCTGCTTGCTGAAATGGTGCAGGACCTGAATCCTCTTCTGCAGGAAGTAAAAGACTGTAGCCCTGAATATGGACTGATGCTCAAACTCAAGAAAACAAAGATTCTCACCACTGGGCCAACTGGTCCATGATAGATGGAGAAGAGATTGAGGCTGTTAACAATTTCTGCTTGCTCGGGTCCATAATCAACTCTTTTAGAACCAGCAGCTAGAAAATCAAAGACGATCTGGATTAGCAAAGTCTGCTGTTACATACCTCTCCAGAGTATTGTAGTGCAAAAATATCTGTCTAGAGACTAAGGTGCACCTGATCCAGGCCACGGACTTCATGATTACTTCCTATGTATGAGAGCTGGACAATGAATAAAGATGACAGAAGAACTGATGCCTTTGTGGTGCTGGAGAAGAGTATGGAAGATACCATGGACCGCCAAGAAAACAAACAGGTCTGTTCTGGAAACCAACTTGCTCTCTGGAGGCAAGATTTTGAAGTTCTGTCTCACTTACTCTGGACATGTTGCCAGAAGGGACCAATCCTTGGAGAAAGACATCATACTTGGGAGGGTGGAGGGACAGTGCAGGAGTGAAAGACTCTGAATGAGATGGACTGACCCAGTGACTGGGGTAATGAGGGTAGGTGCGACAGTGAGACTGGCTCAAGACAGCACAGAGTTCAGCGCTATTGTGCATAGGGTCACTATGAGTCACAGGCAATTGACAGCACATAGCAACAATCCTCGGCTACCAGAAAAAGAGGCAACCGGATCAACTATGCAACTTCTGTACTCAGTCAATATACAAAATATGAAAACCTTGCGGTCTATGAAAGAGATGGACCTATACCCTCTACTATAAAGTTTTCATTCCCAAGGAGGTGTCCCCGTGGCACATGCTGCTAGCCAAGGCATCAGGATCTGAAAGCACGGGTCACGCAGCAGGAGGAGGCGGAGGGTGGGCTGCTCCCACAGAGACCTGCAGCCTTGGGATCTGGATGGAGGGCCGTCAGAAGTCCACATCGACTTGATGGCAATGAGCTTGGTTTTGTTTTGGTCATGAAGAAATATTGAAGTGCCTGTTTCTATTTACTTATCAAATCTTATGAAAATGAGGCTTACAAAAAACTTACTTTTTTTCTTTCAGATGGTATGAGGGCTTCAGGGAGAAAAGGATAAGTGGCAGAAGAATTTCGAAAATCCAGAGCTCGCTGTAGTTGCTCCTACAGGAAAAGATACAAAATGTAATCGCATAATACGGAAATCAGTCTCCACTGATTGTAATCCAGGACACGAATCCATACTTCCTGCATGCTGGCCCACCTTACAGTATCTTAACATGAAAGAGGGAGGGTTTGGGCTCACATTTACTTACTCGGTAAGTGCTAATAACAAACTGAGTCCTCTGACGAATTCTTTCTGGTTGTTCTAAAGGATGAGCTGAAACAGGAGGTGCCTTTTCAAATAAAAACTCAGAGCCACAGGGAGAAAGCTGCAGCCTGGAGCCATCAGCATATTGTACTTGCACCGAATCATCCTCGTGAAGTACCATTCGAACTTCGGCTGCCATTACTTCAACTGCACATGAAAAGTCCTTCCAAGGCAGGGCCGGAATGCGCTGGAAAAACCATACATGATCTCTAAATACACTCTGAAGCACAAACCATCCATGGTCTCTTATTACAACTTAAAGCACACTTTAATTTCCAGAAATCATAGCTCTCATTTCACATAACAAGCGAATTCCATCTCTGCAATCAACATACAGCACACTATTTGTAATACATGTAAAAATCACTCATCCTTTTCTCTATAAAAGTGATTAATACCTTCCAAAAGCAAAATGGTTAAGTTTTTTTACGTCTCAAATTCATAAATGGACAAGTAATGAGAAACTGCTTCTTCAAAAACGATGTTATTGTTGTGTACTGTCCAGTCAGAACTGACCCATAGCTGATCCTCCAGTGTGTTTTCAGAGGCAGTAACTGCACAGGAAATTGCCCATCCTTCTCTTGGTGAGGAGGTGGTGGGACTCAAACCGTGTGCCTTCAGCACTGCAGTGCATCTTCCTGTGACTAGGCTTTCTCCAGTCTAAGGGAGCTCTGGTGGTCCAGTGGGTAAAGAAGTTGTGCTGCCAATACAAAGACAAGCAGTTCAAATCCACAAGCTGCTCTGCAGAGAAAATATAGGCAATGTCCTCTGGTGCGATTTACACCTCCCATTGGAGGGTCAGTTGTGAATCAGTTCTGATTGGACGACACAAAACAACAATCCTGGGGCGCTGGCTGAAAATCGCCTGTGACTTCATCCATAGCCACTGGTGAGAGTCAGC